ATTTTAAGAGTACTTTACACTATTTTTTTTTAGCTTGGCAAAGGAAATATTTGAGATGGAATTCTGTAAGTCTCGGCTGTTTAATTAGTTTGGCAATGTCACTTTCTTTTCCGTCTCCCTCCCTAGTTAATTTTTTCGTATTTATCTAACTTGTTACATTTACTCAATGATTTAATTCACGTGTTTGAAAAGTTTCATTGTTGATTCATATTGATAGTAGTTACAAAAAAAAAATTGTTGGAGATATCTACTCGATTCCCACAATGATTGTTCTATTCAGGAGTTCACTTCTAGTATAATTTGTAATAAAAATAAAAGTTAAATTTGACAATTATTTCAGATAGAGCAACCACTAAAACGACATCAACATATTGCTATCATGCGGACACACATACAGTACTTATCCTTGAAAATGTTACTCCCTATGACTCAAGAAAATAGTCCATATTGAGTTTTTAAATTGGAACTAAAAACAGTAAAATCTTAGAACTCAATGCAAAATAAAAAGTTATTGATGAAAAATAACTTATCCAATGCAAAATAACCAGGGTAGTACCTGGTGGGTATCCCCTCGATTTTATTGATGAATAATAAAAAGTTACAATAGGCAGTGCTTAAGACTTACCCAAAAAAGAAGAGTCGTCTTACAATCATTCTCTAAACTTCTATGACGGCTCTTTGGCGAAGCTAAAACTAAGAACTGCCTTACAAAGAATCTTCTAGTGATCTCCTGACAACTCTGAGGTTTAAAGCCTTAGTAGACTAAGATACTGCATTACAAAGTTTTACTAAAATCCCTAACAGAACTTTGGTTCCCTAGTCTAGTTCCTATTTAATCCTAATGTAAGGAAAAGTTTGCTGATCCAAAGATAATATACCTCTTAAATGGAGCGAAGCTCGGCAGGACTTTCAGAGGAGAAAGAATTGCAACTTGATGCTTGCCTCGATAGTCCATCCGCTGGAGCGTTGACTTCTCGAAATATATGATGAATAGTGTATTGTCTGCTCCGCAAGATTTCATTTATTTCGCTCAGAGCTGCATGATATCTCCACGGATAATTTTTGCCTTAGCTCAAAAGTGGTACTATTACTTTACTATTAGTCTGAACTCTGACTCCAGGAAGCTCCTTTTCAGCGCACCATTGCAGACCATGGAGAATGCCCATTACTTCTGCCTCCATACTAAAAGTATTACCAATAAATTGGCATTCAGCTTTTATCAGAATTCCACTCTCTCCTCATACTGCATAGCCCCATCCAGCATCTCCAGGAGTGCCAAGCGCTGATCCATTTGTGTCGAGAATAAATTCCCCCGGGTTTGGCGATTTCCAACACGGAACTGTGATTTCCTTTTGCTTCGGATGAGGAACTTCTATTGCAAAGATATCTTTTAATTCTTGAACCTCAATCATTGATTTTGCACAGAGTTTGTGAGTACGGAGAGTCATTGAGTTTTGCTCTTTAACTTTTTTAATCACAGGGTCGGGGAGAAACAAGTTCCTTCATATAGACATTTGTTTCAGGCTTTCCAAAGCTCCCACAGGATTAAACCAGGTGTGATAACCTTGATCATTCTCTTCGATGTGAGAAGATTTCCAATTGTATACCAAGCCTGAACAAATCTCCATAAACCTGCATGAGAAGACACAAAAACTCAAAGAATATTTGAAAAGTATTTCCAAACCTGTTGTGACTTCGGACATTCATAGAAAACATGAGAGATACTCTCCCCTTCCTGTAAACAAAGTGAACATCTAGAAGGCGATACACAAAAGCCTAACTTAATCAAAGCATCTGGCAATGGCAATAGTTTATTAAAAAGATTCCATAAGAAAAAAGAAACTTTTGATGGAGTAAATTTATTCCAGAAATTTTAACAAATGGAACAACTTTCTGTGTTTGACGAAACTCCCTTTATGCTGAGGCAATGATGAAAACACCAATTGTTGTTAGCTTCCATATTCTTTTATCCTCCACAAGTGATAAATTCACAGTTATATTTTCGAGAGTGTGAAGAACTTGAGGCTGCACCACAGAAGAGAAATTAGTCAAAAATAAATTCTTATAAGAAAAGAAATCCTTTACCTGTAGGTCCTTAAATGGTGGATCATTCAACCAGTAGATGGACCATATCGGGCCAGAAGGTAGCCAACTATCAAACCGAAATGACACTTCACCCTTGCCAAGTATCACAGAAGAGTTCGAAGCAGCATTAAAATCCACTTCTAAAATTCTATTCCATGTTGTTCTGCCTCTCGCTGACATTGATAAAGAATGTAGAAATTCTGCCCAAATCCCTCTTTTACTCTTCCATTTCCACCATAGTTTCACAGAGAAAGCCTCAATGATTCCTGAAAAAAATTCATATTCCTAGACCATTTTCTGCTTCCGGATATGTGAGCTTGCTCTACGCTCTCCAATGCCTCCTTTTCTCTTCATCTGTTGAATCCCAAAGAAATCTTTGACATTTCCGTTCTAAGACTGAGTTAATGGACTCTGGAGGAGCAATTGCTGCAAAATGTATGTATAGGTAAGGCCATTAGAACATGCCTTATCAAGATTAATCTACCTCCTACCAAAAGCATTTTATTTTTCCAATTTCGTAGTCTTGCATCAAAAATATCCAACAGATGATGAAAATACTCAGATTTCTTCCGCCCCTTAAATATTTTGCAACCCAGATAGATGAAAGGGTAACAACCACGTGGCACCTGTCGAGTTCTAGAAATCAGCTCCACTTTCTCCAGCCCATTTTTTTTCTGATACTAAAAAAGAGCTTTTCTGTTTATTCATCTTTTGCCTCGAAGCGGCCTCATAGTCTTGTAGAAGTAGATTTAGTTGCTCCATTGACTTCTTCAGACTGTTGGGAAAAATTATGATATCATCCGCAAAACATAAGTGTGAAACAGACATAGCACCAGCAGGAAGTCCATAAGGGGCTATACGTCCTTCAGAAGTAAGATCTTTGAACCTTCCTGTGAGTACCACCGATACAAGAATAAATAAGCAGGGAGAGAAAGGATCCCCTTGCTTTAAGCCTCTTGTAGCTTTAAAAAAATTGGCCGGGCTGCCATTGATTAGAACTGAAAACCAGCTATCAACAAGATTATGCATGACCAAGTTTATGAACCTGGTACAAAAGCCCAAATTTTCCAACATCCTTCAAAGAAAATCCCATGAAACTCGGTCAAAATTCTTCATCATATCCAACTTTATAATTAAATTTCCCCTTTCACTTTGTGCTCCAAAAATTGGCTTAAGTCCTGAGTCATTAAAATGTTGTCCGTAATGTCTATTCCAGATAAAAAAGCTGATTGTTCCATAGATATTAAGCTTGGCAACACCACTTTCAATATCGCCATTAATACCAGTGTAAAAATTTTATTGATGAAATTGCAAAGGCTTATTGGACGATCGTTTGCAAAGGTGATGACAGAATTCTTCTTCGGAATCAAGGTGATAACCGTACTCCTAATTGCTCTAAGAGGAACCCCAGTCATGAAGTCCATACATGCAGCTAGCAAATCATTGCTAATTATCTCCCAACAATGTCGATAGAAGGATCCTCCAAAACCGTCTACACCAGGAGCACTATCTGGGTCAAGACTATAAACGGCATCTTTCACTTCCTCTAATGTTATTGGCTGAATGAATTTATCATTGTCCCTAACTGTCAAGATCGATGGTACGCTCACAGCAACCTCTCGGCTGCCTCCTCTTGTTCAAATATATTTTCACACGAGAGAAGCTCTTTGTAGAAAAGGACAGCTTCCTTCTCAATTTCAACTCAGCTAGTTATCCAATCGCCACTCCGCGCTTTAATTTTGTAGATACCCTGCCGTGTTCTTCTCTCCACCATAGAAGCATAAAAAAAGCTCAAATTCTGGTCACCTTCACTCCACCATTTCATCTTACTTTTCTGCCGGATAAAATCTTCTTGTTCTCGCAGTCGCTGGAACAAATTAGCCTGAGCTCGATTTAACTCCATTCTATCATTTATAGTATTTGTAGAGTCATATTGCAGCTCCTAATATTCTGAAATACATCTCCAAAACATGTTCAATTCCAATCTTTCAGCCTGAGCTTTAAGCGCCTGAGTTTTAAAGAAAAACCCAGCATACCATATCCCTGAACTGGCTGCTCCCAATTCGCTCGAACCACGTCAATGAAGTTGTTCCTCCTTAACTGCATCCATTGAAACCCAAAAAGCCTCGACCTTGTCTCAATGTCAATCTTAAATTGGTGAAGTAAGGGGCTATGATCAGAGGAAGCTCTATTAAGATGTTGTATCGTAGAACCTACAAAAGTAGAAAGCCATTCCATCAAAAACAAAACTCTGTCTAGGCACTTGAAGACCTTACCACTCTGCCGATTACTAACCCAAGTGAATTCATTTCCTATTATCTAAGTTTCAGCCAGATTACATTTATCGATGCATTTATTGAAATCTTCCTTAGCAGCTTGGTCCAGATGTCCATTGCCCGAATACTCCTTGATGCTTTGAATAACATTGAAATCCCCACCCATTATCCAAGCTTCTCCCATGTGCTGATTATAGAAAACTTCCAATTCATGCCACAGCAGCTGACGATCCCTTCTTGTAGACTTCGCATAAACGGCGGACAACAGAAATTTTTTTTGAAATTGATGACTAATTATTCCCAGATGCAACACTTGATCAGAGTCTTTGATGACATTTACAGAAAAATCCTTTGTACTAAAAACCCATATTTTTCCACGAGGTGAAGCAAAACCATAATCAAAATGGAGATATTGTTTCAGGTCTTCCATTTTATCCCCATCAAGCATCGGTTCAAATAAGATAATTAAGGATAAGGAATGCATCCAAAACAAGACTTTTCAATCTACGTCGAGATGCTTTATTCCCAATCCCTCTTATATTCCAAAAAAGCTGACTTATCATTTCAAGCCGCATTGAGCGACGTAATTTTGCATCACTAGTTTGACCAAGCTTGGTCAAACCTTTCAAATGTCCAGGTTTAGCCTTTTTTTCCTTCACCATCCGAGACTGACAATCTTAAAACCTCAGTGCCTTCATCAGCCCTTCTGTAATTTTCAAGTCCATCATCCATTGGCTTCCATACCATTAGTTTAAGATTCCAGCTGTCCTGATTGTCTTCAATAATCCCTGTATAGTCCATATTGCAGTAAGAATCAGAGCCGATTGAATCAGAATCAGAACCCTCCTGAGAGTTATAATCTTTCTTAGCTCCCTCTTTGTTGCCTAGTTCTGCAGGTTCTTCAAATTTATCAGACAAAACGTCGAATCGAGAAGACAGTTTTATAACAGAGGCAGAAACAGCGTGCTGTTTTGGAGGGTTACTAGATTTTTTGCTACTCTACTTGGGCAAATTTTCTTTATCCAACGGATTGGTCTCGTTTGCATCTAATCTTCATGTGACGCTTTGCTGGCACTCTTTTCCAGCGTTTCATGTAGCTTTTCTTTGAACAAACGCCGTTTCTCAGAAGATGGCTGCGGTGGAGTGTGTGTTCTCAAATTGATTGGAATCGTGCCCTTTTCAGCTTCTGTTAACCCTGAAGAAGAAGAAATATTCTGATTCAATGGTTCAGATTCTAAAGGTAGTTTTTCCTTGGGCTTCCACACATTCTTTTCCTGCTGCTTAATAATCGGAACAGTCTTTTTCATTGTTACTACCTCAGGCTTGATTGATTCCTTTTTTGACTCTTGTTCTCTGAGAGACCAGAACCATTAGTTGTGTTGAATTTACATGATTTCACCAAGTGGCCAACCTTTCTACATTCAGAACAATATTCTGGCAAATTTTCGTAGATAACGGGTTGAAAGTTGGAATTTCCTTCCACTCCTAAACGGATTCGCTTTGGCAATTCTTTGAGCAGATCAACCTCCACACATAAATGAGCAACAGATGGTCTTGACATATTAAGCGTTGGCATATCAATCTTTAACGACATACGTATAATACTGGCTAATCTCCGGAGATAGTCTTCGTTAAATCTATGTATAGGCATGCCCGCAAAAGAAATCCAAACTGGAACAATTGGCGATTCATAGGCTGGATCAATGAGGTAGTTTGTATTGAGAGTTTGTAATGAGAGCTTGTAATCGACACGTGTCGTTCAGTGAGGTAGTTTAGGACAATTGTGACACATGTCGTCCTTACAACTCTCCTTCATTAAAGTGTAAAGAAAAATATTCTAGTTTCGTTAAATTAAATTTTCATCTTACTTCAATTTAGAAATAATTACCATATTCTATCATTATATACTTTATATGAACGAGGACCATAAATCCGTCCAAACAAAATCATCACATTTATTAATCTATATAAGGAATTTATATACAATCAACAACTATAAAACCTAATACAATACCTAAATGGGACAATATTAATTAATCATACTCTTATCAGTAAATTAAATAAGTAATATATTACATAATAATTAATCATTAATCAATTAGATAATTAATAATCGTATTGTACAATATAATTGTAAATAAGTCCAAGTATTTTAGACATCTGATATCTTGAGAGCACTTGTTTTAGATTGAGAGTAAATCTTTTTAGAATATCGTATTTAAGATACCAAATATCGAGTAATCCGTTCAAATGGTCCTTTACATTTCGAATATAACTTAATTTGGTCCTTTATATTAAAAATCACTAGTTTGATCCATTACATTTGTCTTTTATACTAATTTAGTCTTTTTTTAATTTGTTTGAGCCTTTACATTTGGTGGTTCTTGAGTTGACCATTTCTTAGTAAGTCAACAGAGGTACTTTATGTAATGTCTAGCTTTCAAAATATAAGAAAAAAGAAATTGATTAAAATAATATAATCATTTTAAAATTTCTAGATTCAAGGAAAAATCCAAAATATGTTTGTTTATCTGGTGGGTCCAACATCCAGGTTCTTTTTATTGACCTTGTTCTTTAACTTTTTTTCGCCACATCCAAGAGGGAGTTTGGGAACGAGAAAATGTTTGACCGGAGAAAATAAAGAAAAAGTAAAAAATAAAAAATAATGTCAATAATAAAATTGAGGACATGGGCCCATGGGATGAAAAAAATCTGATTTGAAAAAAAAAATTTATGAATTATGAAATTTTAATTTTTTAATTTTTTAAATTAATTATCAGTTAAGATAATATGTTTAATTTTTTTTTAATTAATTTTTTATGTGTATTTTTTGAAATACATTACTACAGATACCCCTAGTGACTTGACCAAGAAAAGGTCAGCCCGAGAACTACTAAATATAAAGTGTCAAAAAAAAGTAAAAGAGACTAAATTTTTGTGAAAGACAAATTTAGTAAACAAAATCAGTGAATTATTATTGTGGAGGATCAAATTAATTTTTTTGACATATATAAAGGACCATTTGACCAGTTTACGCTACTATTTATGATTATTTTTATCCTTTTTCTTTCCCTGCTTTTTCATTTTTAAGGATAAAAATATTTTCTCCTAACACTTATTAATATCTCAAGTCATTAAATTTTTAATGGAAAACAATCACATTAAGAGACAGCGTACCATATTCTACTGTCATTTATTTTCTCACGATACTAATTAATATCCCAATTCGATAATTTTTTGACAAATATAAAAAATCATTTGAGCAGTTTACTCTGTTTATAAAGCATAAAAATATTTTCTCCTGACACTAATTAATATCCCAAGTTATTAAATTTTTATTTGAAAAAATCATAACAAGAGGCAGTATACCATCATAAGCAAACCCTCACACCGGCATGACAAACATAGGTTTGAAATCGTAAGAACACGTTTACCGTAACAAGCCTTCCAAGTCTTATTCCTTTTCCAATTAAGAAAAAATTACGATCTTATTCCTTTTAAAAAATAAATCGTGAATAACATATTACGTAGTTACAAATCATTATTGATTAATAGTGTGAAAATGATATAAAATATTTTTTTAAAAAAGGATATAAATTATTTTAAAACTCGTGCAATGAAGTAAACTATTTCCGCTAACCAGAAAGGAAACCCGGACAATGGGAAACAATGTCATTTTTTTTTTTTTGGTAAGGTGTCATTGTTATTTTGTCTAATTTTGAAGATTTCATTTTTCGAATCTTTGTGTTTATATATATGGATAGATGGAAATTTGATAAATTCCATCCATCAGAGTGTCAGTCAATTAGTCTTACTGTAATTTCAATCAATTGTGTTGCGATTGTCATCATAAATAAATTAAATTAGTTTCGTGATCTTTTTTTTTTAAAAAATAAATTTACAAGTATTACCGCCATTAGATTGAATTTTAATATTTGTGGTGATTTTTTTTTTTGGCAGTAGAGTGAGTATATATACACAAACAAATGAATCCCACCCAAACAATCTTGCAAATATGAAATGGCTAATGAAATGAGAGTGGGACTGCATGTGTGGATGGAGTCATCGGATTGAGGAACATATTGGATTCCATATTACGTTGAGTTTTTTCTGTTTCCATATTCTAAAGGTGTTACAGGTTTTGTTTTGTCAGGGATGATTCCCTGTTTTCTCGATGATTTGGGTTGGCCTCAGTTTCCTTTTGCATGTGTTTCCTTTGTCACTCTATAAATAAATGTATGGATTTGCCCTCCATCATTCAAATTATGTCTGTTCCTTTTCTAAATTTAGATGTTGCCCAAATCTCTTCCATCTCTGCTCTTTTTTATTGGTGAATTAGAAGTATTCTGTGTTGGAAATGAGGGAAGGATTTGAATGAGAATTTAGTTTCTCAAGTAGTCGAAAAATGAAGAGTTTAATCTAAGGGACATTGTCCCACATTGGTGTTCATAGGAGTTGGAGGTTACTTTATAACTGAAAGTCCAAATTTGGCTTGCAAGTTGCCTTGCCATGTGTGGGCACAACTTTCGGGGATGATTACAGGTTTTGTTACAGGTTTTGTTTTGTCAGGGATGATTTCCTGTTTTCTCGATGATTTGGGTTGGCCTCAGTTTCCTTTTGTATGTGTTTCCTTTGTCACACTATAAATAAATGTATGGATTTGCCCTCCATCATTCAAATTATGTCTGTTCCTTTTCCAAATTTAGATGTCACCCAAATCTCGTCCATCTCTGCTCTTTTTTATCGGTGAATCAGAAGTATTCTGTGTTGGAAATGAGGGAAGGATTTGAATGAGAATTTAGTTTCTCAAGTAGTCGAAAAATGAAGAGTTTAATCTAAGGGACATTATCCCACATTGGTGTTCATAGGAGTTGGAGGTTACTATATAAGTGAAAGTCCAAATTTGGCTGGCAAGTTGCCTTGCCATGTGTGGGCACAACTTTCGGACACGAACGTCTAACCGAACTCTCGTAGGCCTAATCAATCCACGTTGGTTGTTGGTGTTGCTGTTACTTGCACCACTCCCGCTGCTGGTGTACCTGGTGTTGCCATCGTTGGGTTGCGAGTTATGCTATTGTTCTCGCTGTGACTCTTGATGTGCCGAATGTTCCAACTAGCCACGTGGAGAAGTCGGAAATGTTCAATGGGACGACTACGACTTTCAAGAGGTGGCAACAAAAGATGTTGTTCTACCTGACGACGCTGAACTTGGCGAGTTTCCTGACAGGTGTGGCTCCTCGGATGCCTGAAGGAACTTCTGACGTACCAACTGTCCATGTATATGAGTCTTGGAAACGGTCAGATTTTCTTTTCTGTGGTAATATTTTGAAAGATATTCATGATTCAATCTATAATGGTAATATTTAAAATCGCTAATGACTTGTGGGAATTCATGGATAGGAAACATAAATCGGAGTGTCGGACAGTTCCTTGGTTATATGATGGTAGATTGCAAGACTGTTGATTGTTAACCACAAGAAATCCTGTTGATTCTACACAACATCCAAGCTGAGGGGATGATTTTGAGTGAAACCTTTCAAGAGGATGCGGTCATTGAGAAGTTGCCTCTAGGCAAGAAGGATTTCAAGAACTACCTCAAGCACAAACGCAAGGAGATGATCTTTGAAGATGTGATAGTTAGACTTTGCGCTGAAGAAAACAAGAGAAAGCCAGAGTTGAAGGCATCCAGTGGTGTACATGCTAATGTCAATATTTTGGAGAATTGTAAAGGCCAAGGCTCGACGAACAAGGCCAATAGCAAGAACACCAACAAAGGAAAGGGGAAGCTAGGGACTACTGGTGGTGTCTCTAAGCAAAAATACAAATTCAAAAGTAATTGTTTTAACTGTGGCAAACCAGGTCACAGGTCTGCTGATTGCCGCTCCACAAAGAAGGATCATGAGGTGAACATGGACAATGATATCACTAAGGATGTGGAGGATACGCACTTGGTTACTGTGGTGAGTCAGGTGAACATGGTGGAGTCCAACCCAAAGGAAGAGTGGATGGATATTGGTGCGTCCAGGCACATGTGCACCCATCGAAGCCACTTCATGACTTTTGAACCAGTCCATGGAGAGAACATCTACATGGGAAAGCTACTGTTGCCACTGTTCAAGGCAAAGGAACTGTGAAGCTCAAGATGACTTCGGGCAAGACTCTAACACTCGCAGATGTGCTGTATGTGCCAGAAGTGCACCAGAACCTTATGTCAGGATTTATGCTAGACAAGAATGGGTTCTGAATTGTAATAGAGTCCAATATGGTTGTTTTGTCTAAGACAAGAATGTTTGTTGGGAAGGGGTAT